AAATACCATAGTATGTGAAATACATATCAACTCCAAAAAGAAAAGAAGATATTAAAAAAAAAATGGTGCCACTTTCTTTCTTGCTAAATTTGTTTGCTTCCAAAGCATTAATCCATCCTTCGCAGCTCCATATGAGTTGTTTACTGCATCTCTTAAATAGCTTGTTCACGATATTATATCTTCAGTCTTCGATCCTCACTATTTGTATAACCCTACTATTCCTCCAACCACTGCGGCCTTCCCACACATCTTTTTATTTCCTACCACTTACAATGTATGCAAATACATACATACTCGTATTCCATTTGGCTATTGAGTAGCAGCTTTGGTGCCACATATGTGGCATGTGGCAGATATATGAAATTAGCATGGGTGTGTAATAAATAGCATACCTGCCTGTAAATTCCCCAATGAAATATGAAACTGAATGGAAATTAATGCAAGTTTGATTGTCGCACATACATATATACAAACATATATGTATACATATGTACAGGCATATATGTACAAGCGCAAGCCATCAGCCCAGAGGCAGAAATTTAAGCAGATGTGTAACATGATGCTTGGAATTTAGGTGAACAGAACACCTGTGAGTGAGCGCAACGTACATACATATTTTATGCGATAATGTGTGTGCCATGAAAAATTGTTAAAACTTTTTTCGCACGTGCAAAAGTTGTTGCGATAATTTTTGTTTTTTCACTATTAAAAATTCAATGATTTAGCATGCGCGTTTATTCTATTAAATTTACATATATTAAAAGGTTTGATTTATGTACGGAGCATTTTCAGTTTGCGACGTGTCACGGAAACGGGCCTTATGGATTATCAGCGAAAAGTGTGGCACTCACCGAAACCGCGTTGTGTTAAACAAATACATACAGATGATTTGCGGGTGAGTACTTTTACTGACGTAAGCGAAAGATAGTTTTGTATTTTGTTGCTTTGTAGGTAGGATAGTTTTTTTCTTTAAATCATTGTTAAGGGAAAGCAACATCCAATTAACTCCAAAAAGTGAAGCGAGAAATATGAAACGAAAGGTTTGTCTTATCATTGTACAGCGTGCAGCATAAAGTTCAAAAATGCATAAAAACAAGTTTAAAACCTATAGTTTTTTAGATTTTTGATTAGCATGCAAAATCAAATCAGGTTTTGACAAATGACCGAAATAACTATATTTGAACAATACTATCATTGAGGTGAGTAGATTTTATATATTTAGATCGGACACTTCAGTGGCCAAAAGAGAAGAAATTGGAAAAAAAGTCCTATAACTGGGAGGAGTGGAATCCGGTATATAAATTAGGTTGGTCCTTAAAAATATCAACATCTAAACTTTGTATGAGGCACTGTTTATATTGTTCTATGTAGAAAATGACTACAGAAGATATGGAATAAATTAACCGACGAAGACTTGGTTTTTGAAAAGCTTGAAAAGTTTCCCTTTGTCTCTAAGGATTATAAGTAACCCTATGCGCAAGATAAGCTAATTAAAAACCCCAAAGGTTAGCTGGTCTTTGGAGATATTTTCACCTTAAAAAATTAACAAGGCAAGACTTCATTTCTGAATCTAAGCATTATGAACTAAAAAGGCCTCAAATAAATCAACTGGAAATATTTGCAGGGAAGACAAAATGGACTGTAGCCCATATCGCCACAACTAGGTATGGAGGCCGCTAATGACTGAGACCGGAAAGTCGTAAAAAAGGGGCGATTGATGAAAAAAGGGTCACCGTATTTCTTGCTTTTCTATACTTATAATAGAATAAATCTAAAGTTTTATCTTTAATAAATATGTTGCAAATAAAGAGACAATTTTATTTTAAACCAAAAGATCGTTGTTTACGTAACATACATATATCATGTACCAGTAACCATAACAGCAAAATTCAAAACAGGGTTGCCAACATACACAGAAATCGAGTTTCTGCAAAAAATAAAGTTGCATTTCTTTTAAAAGTTTAAAGTTGTATATTGTGTATTTGTATATATTATATATGGACATATTTTGGAAAAGGATAAAAAATCAAAAGTCGGTTTAAAGGGTATTGGCGGTTTAATAGGTTCAGATTGCTCTTTTAGTCGTACAACGGCAACACTGCTTGAGACTCTCTACTATCACTAGAGTTTTTACATTAAAACCCCCTAAAAAAGGAACAGTCCAGCGCCTTCGTCTTAGTCTGCAGGCTGTATCGGAGATACAGCCGCTAAATTTAAACGTAGAATACGTGGTATGGTAAAGAGCATATCCAAGTAAAAAACGAAAGTACACACTAAGCAAAAAATATCGATAACAAAAGCGATAATAATATCGGTAGCAAAATCGATAAAAACATCGATAAAGAAATCGATGAAAATATTGATATCAAAATCGAAAATAATATCGAAAGCAAAATCGATAGCAAAATCGATAAAAATACCGATAGCAAAATCGATAACAACACTGATTACGAAATCTATCAAAAAAATCGATTACAAAATCGATAACAAAGTCGATAACAAAATCGATTATAAAGTCGATAACAAAATCCATAACAGAATCCATAAAAATATCGATAACAATATCGATAGCAACATCAATAAAAATATCGAATATAAAACCTATAAAAAAATTGATAACAATAGCGATAGCAAAATCGATAAAAATATCGGTAACAAAACCGATAAAAGTATCGATGACAAAATCGATAGCAAAATCGGTAATAATATCGACGGCACAATCGATAGGAATATCGATAACAAAATCGATAAAAAAATATCGATAACAAAACAGATAAAAATATCGATTACAGAATCGATTAAAATACCGACAACAAAATCTATAAAAATATCGATAACAAAATCGATAAAAATATCGATTACAAAATCGATAAATAATCGATCATAAAATCGATAACAGTGTCGATAACAAAATCGACAACAAAATCAATAAAAATATCGATAACAAAATCGAGAATAAATATCGATAACAAAATCGAAAAAATATCGATCATTATATCGATAAGTTCCAAAAATATCGATAGCAAAATCAATAACAATATCGATAAAAATTTCTATAACAAAATCGATAAAAAAACCAACAAAATATCGATTATATCGATAAGTCCCGAGAATCCCTAAAATCCCGAAATAGTTCCGAGATTGAGTCTCTGTGCCTTTATCTATATCCTTTTCTCTACAACTACCTTTATTTTAATCTTTCTTCCTCTATCTTCATCTATACTTTTATCGGTATCCTCATCCGCATCTTTTTCTTTATATTTATCTTTTTTTATGTTTATCATATTCTTCATATACATATTCCCCTTCACCTTTGCACTTATACATATAAGTAAAGTGTTTAAATTTACCTTGGTCTTCATGTTTGCCTTTATCTTTACTCAACTTTGTTCTTGTGTTTATTTTTACCTTGGCCTTTTCTTATCTATGTACGTCCTCACCTTTACTTTTATTCTTGGATTGGACTTTTTCTAAATGTTGTTTCACTTCGAAAAGTCTTCGCGTATTATGCATACATGTGTTCATATATGTATGTACATATATAATATGTATGTACATATGTATGTATAGACATACATAGATTACTAAAAATAGAAATAGATCCACATTAACTGCAATCAACATATGTACGTATGTATGTATTTACATATGTACACACGCTGCGATTAGGTTATAAATAGCGCGCCTCTGTTTATCAAAAGCCGCATTACATACGCATACATACTTTTTGTCTCCTTCCCACACTTCCAACATATGCACGTGTTTGCAAAATGATGACGAGGTGATTTTGTATGGAAAATCATTTATGCCCATATATTTGAATAAAATAAACATATATGGAAGATATCAACCAATACTTCCCATATACCAAACGAAAGGAAAACTCTTGAATTTTTGATTAAAGAAAACAAAAACAAAATCATTCGAGCGGTTTTCGAGCATTTTGGTAATGAAAAAAATTTGCAAATTTTTTCAACAATTTTTTGCCTTAAAATGCTCAATATTTGTTAAATTTATATATAATTTGTACCCGATAATATTTCTACTGCTCCAAAGAACCTATATCCCGAAAATGAAAGTTATATATGCCAACAATAAGTTGCTAGAG